CCCCCCCCCCGCCAACAAATCTTGCTAAGAAATCCTGCTAAGATTCACCTTAGCATCCCAAAAGTCAGAAATGATTTCAAGACACGTAACAAGAAACTGGACTGAAGATTTTGTGACAAAATCTTCCGCTTTCAGCTAATTGTTTCTACAAATTTATTTGGGAAGAATGCAAATACTGCCACATACAACACACATAATAAACATTTTACAAGTGATTATTGTAAGTATTATCAAGGTTAATACTTCTACAGTATATAAATTGCTAATCCTTCAATTGTTAGTCCCAACTAGCGTAGACCCATGGAATCAACGTGAACATGATAAACCAGCATTGTGGTCAATCAGATCCCCAAAAGGAAGGTATTCCACAACCAGAGGGCCACAGCCAAGAAGACCCTTCCCAACATCCCTCTACCAGGTCTTGTCTCCATTTGTGGGACATGGAGCTGGGAATCTCCAGCAGACCCCAATCCCTGAGGTGCAGGTATTGACATCCCAGTATGTGATAACAATATAACAAAGGTGAAGCATAGGGAAAGATTTTGCTGAAAAGCAAATCCTGAGGGAAAAACTTAAAGGATTAGGAGAGGAGGAAAGCTGTTCACAGTAGATGGAGTGTTGATTTGACAGTTCACAATACTGTTGGTGGCATTAGTAAAACAGACACCCATCAAGTTAATTTTACCCCACTAGAATTGTTTGTGTCAAATGCAGTCATTTGGCCTGCAGACCAGAAGTTTTTCAGGAAAAGTCAGTATCATTATATAGCTTATTAGAAGACTGGAAAGATGGCAGAGGTCCACTACTGGGAGTAGTCCATTAGCAGAATGGTTCCACAGAACATGGGATCCCATCAAGCTGCCATATTATATGCATGTCTGTGAAGCAGATGCCATGGAAAATAAATTTAAAGAGGGGTAGGTAATGGAATTTTGGAATTTTGGAACTTTGGAATTGGGGAAAGATGATAAATGTAGAAGATGAGATCATATAATAATAGCCTTATCCATGCAGAACCATGTTCTATCTTTGTGCCAGTGACATTACATGCATTTTCCCTAATGTTTTTTCTCACCCATAAAAAATCATTTTATTGATGAAACCATTCTGTGTGTACACACAAGGAGGAATAAAAAGAAATGTACATAAAAAAATCTAATTCCAATTATCTCTCCCCCCCCATAAATTACTGCACATAAAATGATTCTGCTCACCCTGTTCTACTTGTTATCTAAACTGTTTCCATTCTTCATTGTGATTATCATACAACCTCTGGCTGAAGCAAATAGCCCAGGTCACTTTGTTTAAAATGGTTCAGCCCCATAATTTAATATATACTTTGCCAACCTTGGAAACTACTGTATTTTCCAGTAATTGGCATCAGCAATTCCTGTTCCAGCAACCATGTAAAACAGTAATGGTGTTTTATCCTTCTTTTGGAAAGTCAATATAGAAATCTTCTGTATGTCCCTCTGTCTCAAAATAAGGTCATTGTCACTTTGTGTGCATGCTTAAATGGTGTAGTCATGATACAGTGCCATAGTTATGAGATCAGGAACATAAGAACCCAAAACATATTGTTCATTATAGCTAAAGTCTATCCATTGAATCAAAGGGATTTGCTTATGCCTTGAGTTCAACCATTGATTCAGTGGGTAAACTCTAGTTGAGGCTAACCACTAGGATTCTGGTAAAGTCATATTGGATTAGACTAGAGGTCCATGTCATCCAGAAAGCCAGAGCAGTGTACTTGCATTCTGCTTGTGGAAGGGCTCTTCTAAGATAAAGTCCCAGCATTATTTTGGGGGGATCACTCTTGCTCCCTCACTCACAACAGAACTCACATCAATTTAGCAAGGTACCTTGACTTTCTGGGCAGCATTTATAGAGGTTGGAGGAGCTACCATGGAAAGGATGGGGAAGTCCACTTCCAAAAACCTAGTTTGTCACCATGAACCTAAATCTGGATTCAATCCACTGTTTCGAAAGAGGAAACCTGTCATTTCTGAATGGGGTAAAAACAGAAGAAAAAGAGAGGAAATAAATAATGGCAAGAATGAGGGAAATTGCTATGTACTGAAAAGACGTATGGCTTAACGAAACACATTTCTGACAAGAGTAATCTCTCTGATACTGGAGACAAGCTGGCATTTTGGCCCACATCCTCTCAGACTTTACACATCCCCGGCAGAGGGAATTCTCATCACTTCTTGGACATAAATAATAAGTCAAGTTGGGTTTTATTATTATTATTACTATTTTAAAAAAAACCTCACAGTGAAGTGTCATTTTTGGAGAACTGAATTCTCAACTTAACTCCGACTGTTGGAGAAAAAGCCGTCTGCTGGATGAAAAAAAGAAAAGTTAAAGGAGAGAGGGTGACCCACTAATTATTCAAGAATAATTCTCATTAATGAAATGATAACAGCTACTGGACTTCTCACTCATGTAGTCAGAAGAAAGGCACAGTGGAATTTCCAGTGACTCCGAGGACTTTGGGATGGGAACCAGCAATGAATTCAAAATATTCAAATGTCCCTGTTATTTTAATTCAGTGTAAGAAATTCTACTACTTTAACTCCATAGCTGCTTTGGTCCCTAGGACTTATATGAATCCCCTTCCTCCTATATGCTTCTTCTTCTTGTGTTTGTCAGTCCACATCTTCTCAGGCCTTTCACCTCTACTTTTATACAGAGTTTCTTATTGCTCATCTATTTCCTTACAACCAACCTGCCTTGCAATATCCCAATTTCCACAGACCTTTCTTCTTTCCTTGGGTCATATCTGACATCTTTCCTAAGCCTTCTAATTCCATCACTCTCCATGCTATTTGTCAATTTCTTTGGACAAAACCAATAGTAGGAAACTGTTGAGGGTTGGAAGTTTGGGACATGTATTATCCTCTCATAAGGCCTGAAGGGGAAGGAGCCAGTAAGAGGGCTTCACTTGGGCTACCTTTGGAAAATGCTTCCTTCCATCCACATAGATTCAGGCAAAAGCAAACTGCTGCAACCTTCCTAGCCTTTGTGAACTTCCTCATCGACAACTTTTTCCAACATGACCACACGCAATAACTTTTTCCAACATGACCATGATGTGTGGCCACACGTGTTCCACTTTTCATCTGTGAACAAGGTTGGACATCCTTGGCACCTGGATGGGACACCGCTAGGCAACATCAGAGATCTCTATGAACAGTTGGGAAAGAATCCAACCTGATACTCTGCAGAGCTGCTCTTGCCAACCAATACTGAGCTAAATAAAGCAAGGATCTGATTTAACATAAAGTAGGTTCCTGTATCCCACAGTCTCCCCCTGTTTGCAGACAGAACATACAAAAACAATTGTCATAAAATATCATGTGAGCTAGCATGGTCTAGCAGTCTGAGTGTTGAACTAGGACTCTTGGAGACCAGGGTTCAAATCTCCACTCAGCCATGGAAACCCACTGTTGCCTTCGGCAATTCACATGCTATCAGCTTCAATTTGCCTTGGACAACTCACACTTCCTCATCTTCCGAGGAAGGCAATGGCAAACCTCCTTTGAATAAATCTTGCCAAGAAAACACTAAGATAGGTTCACCTTAGTGTCACCATGTATCTACTTGAAGGACCGCAACAACTTGAAAGGTACCCTGAACCTTTCCTCAAATGAAGACACTATTACACTGTTGTTATTGTTGTGTGCCTTCAAGTCATTTCTGACTTATGATGACCCAAAAAGTAAGCCTATCACAGGATTTTCTTGGCAAGATTTATTTAGTGGGGATTTTGCCAGAGAGTGTGATTTGCCTAAAGTCGCCCAATAGATTTCCAAGGCCAAGTGGGGATTTGAACCCTGACCTCCAGAATCATAGTCCAATGTTCAAACCATTGCACCATGCTGGATCCCTGGTGGTATTTCTTTTATCTAGTTCATTCAATCTCTTTAGCATTGGGCTATATCACTCATACGTATTTCTGTGTCTATTTATCACTGCTGGTAGCATTTTGTTTAGTCTTTAAGGAAAGATTACCACCCAAAACCAGACATTTTTATAGTGACATTTGTCACTAATGGAGATATCCCTGACCTTAACCAAACCTTGTGTTTTCTAGGTTGTTCTTTTATGTTGAACTTACCCTAAGGATATGGTGTTTAAGGTTTACATTGAGAAAACCATTTATAATTGGTTTGTTTGAATCGTGCCTCCTGCAGAACCATCAGGAAAGGCAATATTAATTAGCAATGGCTAACTCAGAAGTCTAGAGAAAGTAAATCATTTTCTCTTCCTTAAAAAAAAAAAGCTTTTAGTATTTTACTAGTTATAACAAATGATGCAGATATAAATTACAGCAGGAGGGAGGGAGGGAGGAAGAAAAAGCACAGAATAATCTATACCAAAGATGTCCATTTGAATAATTGATTTTTTTTCCTCCTTGAAATATTTTAGTAATACAGCCCCATTTGCTCAAGCAAAATATGCTGAAAAATGAAGAAAGCCAGCAAAAAATGCTAATTAACTCCATTTGTTGTGTCAGAGGATTAAAACTAAATAAATGTGACCTAATACATTATGTCCTGGTTACATTATAAAAACTTAGGTTTCTGTACAAGGTATGTAATTATGCCCATTATTTAGCTCAGCAGAACAGAATGAATGACAGAGAACATGGAGGAAATTTTGTAACTACATAGAAGAACATGTTTTCACACATGCACACATACACACACACACACACACACAGAGAATATTTGAAACATCCTTTATAAATTCAACCATCTCGCAAGCTATGCATCAAAACCCAAGGAAACAGTTTCCTGCCCTCAGTGTGAAAGGATTTCTTGACAGATTAAAATATTCTGTTGAAAAGATGGTCAAGTGCTGTGAGCAAAAAAAATGTTTTTGAGCAAAAAGCAACATTTTTCATCCCAAACTGCATTTTGCACAAAATTTTTACATCAGATGGCCAAGACTTTAGGTTTTAGTTTTTCCCCACATGGAAAATTCATTTTCTGTACACATTTTTGATCATTTATGCATTTACTTTTCCTAATGTGTCTTGTTAGTACATATTTCCAAGAGACAGCTATTCTGTTTCAGTATAACAAGGGAAAGGGAAAGGAACCACTATCACCTTTAAAACTAACCAGATCATTTTAGGTTCAGTTTTTGTGAGCTACTGGATATTTCTGATCCATCATGAAAGCTGATGCTGAAACAGAAGAAGCATCTCAAGATGCTCAAAAGGTGGATATTTTCTCAATAGAAAAGCCCAATGGCCTTCAGTCTGTATATACTCCCAAGGCCTTCTGAAGGGGCTGTTGATGTTGTTGCTGCCACTGCTGTTGCTATTTGTTGCTGTTGTTGTGTATCCTCAAGTCATTTCCAACTTATGATGACCTTTAGGCAAACCTATCATGGTGTTTTCTGGGGCTGAGAGTGTGTGACTCACCCAAGATCATCCAGTCGCTTTCCATGGCCAATCAGAATCAAACTCTGATCTCCAAAGTGATAGTCCAACACTCAAACCACTACACCACTGGTTCTCTGTTGTTGTTGTTGCTGTTGTTGTTGTTGTTGCTGCTGCTGCTGTTATTCCATCTTTTTTCCTAGTTTGTGATTCAAGGAGCCTCGTAACAACTTATAAAAACAGTTAAATATTCACAATATGCAAAAGTTAAATTGTGATTAAACAATAGCCAAGTCACACTCTCTCAGTCAGAGGGAGGCCTGGCAAAAAAACCGTCTGCACAAATCTTGCCAAGAAAACCCTCTGATATGTTTGCTTTAGAGTCACCATAAATTAGAAATGACTTGAAGACACACAACAACAGCAGCAACAACAACATGCATACATTAGGGGAAATACATAAATGTATATATACACAAATTGTGTGTGTGTGTGTGTGTGTGTGTAGTGGGAAATGTGTACAGCAAATGAATGTTGCACATGGAAAGGGGGGGAAATGAAGTCTAATATGAAGAAAAGATGGGAGGAGGAAAAAATGTAGGATTCAAAGTAAGAAAAGGAAATTCGGCAGAGACTGTTTCACATCCATAGTGTGAATATCTTGACCTAAAAGCTACCAGTTTCTGTTTCCCAAATGCTGATACAAATGATAGACAGTAGTGTTTCCAGCTAGAACATGAGGTGGATAATAATGAATCATTAAGGTTAATTATATTTCAGTGTTTCTGTGAAGAAGGCTAAAGGAGGAAAGGTTTGGCCTTGCAACATTTTTTCCCCAATACAAGATGACATACTTTCAGGTCACAACACATGCTGACACAGCCACAAAAGAGTAACCTCCCCCCCTCCTGTGCTTTCCTTTTTATAAATGGCAGAGAAAACTATAAGATTAGTTTTAAAAGATAATGAAGTATTTCTCCTTTGTCTGCCATCATTTACAAAGAGACTGCCTTATGATGGCTTCTAAAATTGATAGGACATGGTGGTATCTTATCACCTCCTGGATCACAAATCACAAGCAGCTTGCTAGGCTGCTGTCTAAAGGTCTTTCTGCTGGATCAGCAGTTAATTTATTCTTTAAAAAAAACAATATAGCAAAGCAAATCAATAGATGCAAAAGATCCCAATTAAATATACACAAAGCCCCAGTATGGAGAACTGGTATTGCTGATTCTCCAGCACGAAATATAATATAATATAATAAATAGCCCTGTCTTGCTATCTTGCTAACCAATTATTGCAAAAGCCAGACTGAGCCAAAAGTTCTAAGTGAAAATCATTTTAATTTCAAATGGGGGAGGAAGGAGTGAAATTCCTCCCCCTTCCTTCCTCCCTTTCTTTCGGACCTTCCTTTCTCATTTTATTTTTCTCCTCTCCTTCTTGTCATCATCTGTCTTTATGTTCCACCTTATTCAAGGAAGCTCACAAATTAAAATAAATACAGTATAGTTAAAATGTAAAAAATGTCAACTTTAAAATGGGATAAAACTTATTGTCAACATTAAAAATGATTTCAAACATGCAAGTAAAAATAAGACTGCTGCCATTAGGCAAGCACCATCCATTGATTCCTTATATGTTCATGCCTCTTCTGCTCCAGGCAGCACGAGGTATCAAGCATGGCTATCCTCTTCCTCGTCTCTTTATCTTCATAACAACAACCTTGTGAGATAGGCTAGGCTGAGAGTGAATGATCAGCCCCAGATCACCCAAGGTTCATAGGTCAGTGAAGACTTAAGCCAATTTGATTTCCCAGTTCCCAGACCAATGCTATATCCATGCAATGTCAGTGATGGGCAATACTGTGTGATGTGGATGCAAACAGCTGCCTGGAATTGCAACAGAGGTCCCAGGTAATGGTTGAAGGTCAGGGGCCAGGATAATCCAGGCTGCTCCCAGGTTAATCTGTCCAGTACAGACATCCTATCAGTCAGTAGTCTGCTCTTTGAAAGATTTGAAGCTTCTGAATACTTTTTCATAGACCAGTTTGCAAATGACACATTACAATAAATGCACTTGGAATTTACCCAAGTGCTGGAGAACTGTGCCAAGTGGAAGCTTTTTCTCCTATTTCTACAAATAAGGCATGCTTTCTCAAACCATCAACAAACCCCCTCTCCTTCTCCATGATCAGTCACAGGTGAACAGCAGTGGGAACCTTCTATGCTTTCCCAGCAAAGTTCTTTCAGAAGCATTTCTTTTAAAAATTTATAAGTATATTCAATATCTAGAACTAGTAAGAGAGCAACAGTTGAGGGAGGAAAGGTCAAAGTGAAGAGGAGTATTATAATCTAGAGTTTTAAAAATATCCACATTTCTCTTCTCCAATTCTGCTGTCAGCTAAACAGACATACCCAGAAAAAGCCTGCAGGGTCTATGTTTCCAAGGGGTCTTTCAATCAAAGCAGAGAAAAGAACATCTTAGGGTGGATGTAACTCTAAACAGGGATTCAGACCAATAAAGACATGAAGTGAAGTTGTGAAGGCTGGAGTAACTCAGCTCACCTCTGTGAATTATTGAGAATTGCCAGATTTTGGGCATCTGACAATTCAACTGTCAGCTAAGCCATATGCCGAGGAAGAATTGCAGATCAAATCCCACGAATGCCAAACAAAACCAGTAAGGAAGGGTTCTTATCCATGCCTTTCAGATCTCCATATGCTTAGACTGCTACAAGTTGTTTGGTTTCCAGTTTTGTTCTGCAATAGGGATGGAAAGAATATTCACACATATTCAAACACCGGTGTGGGGGGGGGAGAGATTTTCTAAGTATAAGGAAATGAAAGCAGGAACAAAAACTCTGTGATTGAGATCTTCACAATTTGAGACCCAGACCTTGTCTTCAGAGGCCAAAAGACATGTTTTCCCCCTGTTCTAGTGATGTCCTGTTCAGACAGACTCATTTCCCAAACCCTGGTTCTGGTGTGAGCAGTCCAGATGGCAGATGGCATGTTCTGCACCATCAAAAGGGTTGTTGTTAACCAGCATCGAATCAATCCTAACTCATGGCAACCATGTAGATGAGACATCTCCAGGACTCCCTGCCCTCTGCTGCTCTGCTTAGGTCCTGTAAATTCATACCTGTGACTTCCTTAATAGAGTCCATCCATCTAGCATGCAGTCTTTCTCTCTTTCTACATCCCTCCAGCTTTCCTAGCATTATTGTCTTTTCCAATGAGTCATGGAACAGCCTCAATCATCTTGGCTTCCAGAGTGATTTCAGGCTTGATCTGTACTAAGACCCATTTGTTTCTCTTTTTAGCTGTCCACGGTGTCCTTAGCACTCTTTTGCAGCCCCACCTCTGATATGAATTTATTTTCCTTTTATCTGCTTTCTTCACACTCCAGCTCTTGCATCCATGCATAGTAATAAGTAATACACTCACTTGTACAATTCTTACTTTCATACTCAGTTGTATATCTTGACTCTGAAA